GGGATTTTTCAATATTCTGGCTTCCTCCACTTCCTCCACTCATCATGCCTGTGTGCCATCCTGGCCTGTCTCCCTGATGGTTTAAGAGACAAAACCTGCGCTTTATGTAAATACAAATGTTTCTTATTTGGTGGAAGCAGTTGAGGGGGAGGGCAAAGGACCAAGAAATTAGGGTGGTTTACAGGCATGTTGAATAACTGAGGCTTTAAAATCCAAGCCAGAAGTCTGAAGCTCTTGAACAGCTGGATGAGTGTAAGCACAACCAGTTGGTTTCATTTTGTGATATCGCATCACAAATGCATCTCATTGAGCAGAGTTGGAGGAAGAGGTATAGTACATGCTAGATAATAGCATAGCATAATCATCTGGCTCCAGCTGGGCATCTCCATATTTACTGGTTTAAATCAAAAAAAAGTTTCCACATTTTGACCATACACAGATGTTAGAAACCTAAATAGTGGGAGGTTGTGCATTGAAAGTAAATTGTCCAGCCCAAAGACGTTCCACCTCCTGTAACAAAAAAGGAACAGTTCCCTTAGTATGGGTAAGTACTATAGAAGTTTTTGTAGGAACTTTTCTGCCGCTGTAGCACCCCTCACTGATCTCAGGTCAGTGAGGCATGTCAAAGGTCAAAGGTCAGATTTGTTTAGTCACCCAAGGGCCAGTGTTGAGAGGCTTTTTTTCATTCCAGAAAGTTCAATGTATATGACTTCAGCGTATCTGTTGTTGAGAATCAGACCATTGCATTGATACATTCTGAGGTGGGTATTTCATAATGTACACTGGCCATAAACCACGATGATGGTCAGAGGGGTGATAATGATCCATCTCTGCCTGCTTAGTCCTTCATCTTTCTGTTTGGTGTAGGAGACAGGCTGGCTATGAAAGGCAGGTGTTGAGAGAGGTTGGATTGAGAGAGAGACTGTACCGCCATAGGATTTAGTAAAGGGAAAAACTAAAAGAAAATAATCCTATGTAACTACCAGTGTTGGAACTAACGCGTTATTAAGTAACG